TTGAATACTGTTCTATAGGAAATAATTTAGTAGATATTGCGAATTTATTTTGTGAGACAGAAATAGACTACGAGAAGAATGTCTACATTAAAGGTTCGGGATACACAGAGGAAGATAGAATTCTTTTTTTAAGGAAATATTTTAATAAAAATGATGTAAAATGTGAATTACAAAAAATTAATAATCTAGAAGTAGTCGGTCACTTTTTATGGTTTGTATGGTGTGTTTATATTATAAAATCTAACAATAATTCAGAGTTTGACTATAAAAAGTATAGTTTATCTAGATTACAATATCTTAACAATATATTTACATCTGATGAGTTAAAAATATTATTATCATATTTAAATTGTTAAATAGTGTATGAATATAAAATCATTTTTATTACTGGCCTTGCTTTGTTGTATTCAATTGAAATAAAATAAATTTTAAAAATAATTATATTTTATTATAAGATATAAACAACGATCTATGCATCTAAATAAATAAAAAGTACAACTATTTTATTTTAATTAATTACTGTAAAATAAAATACCTTATAGAATTTAAAAATTTAGATTCGAACTCTTTACAATAATTTAAAAATCTAAAAATTGTAAAAATATATTAATTTTTAATATATTTTAAGCAAAAAAAAATTAATATAAAATTTTTATGTTATTAAAACTTTTTTTTAGTTAATATTACTTATTTCTATTGCTTTTTTAATGATATTTAATAAAAATAGAATTATAAATTGAAAAAAAAATATTTAATATTTAATATTATTGTTTTATGTAATTTATGATGATTTGATAAAATCAGTCACAAAATTTTATTCAAGTTCTTTTGGTGTAATAAACTAAAAAAATTATATAATAATATTGTAAAGAATAGGTATTTAAAACAATAACATGCATTTAAATTGTTTAAAAAAATTTTTATTTTTACTTATAATATTTCTTGACTTTTTGTGGTTTTTTTATACAATATGTCAAACACGGAACAAAATTATTTAGTCTAAATTAGAAATTACAAAAATAAATGTATATTTATTTGTAATCAGTATCTACAAGAAAATTAATTTGTTA